CAGAAAAAAAAATAATGTGGGGAAAATAGCAGGTGAGCAGATCTTCTCAAACATCAGAAAAGCTTAGCTTAGGTTCCAGGTCATTGCTTATTCCATTTGTATTCCTTCTCCCATTCTCTGCTTGGGTGATATGCAACCAAGGCAGTCCCTCTTGGCAGCCCATTCAGGGATCATTTCCCGATTAGGATAATACACATTAAGTCCAATGTTAGATCAATACAACCACAAGGTAACACTGAAGACTCTCATTATGGTTACCTACCTCTTGAATTTTTATAGGTTGAAAAGAAAGTCTGAATGTTGGTCTCTATTTGTATTCCCAAGCCAGATGTACTAGCACTTACCTCGGCTAATTCTTTGCTTTTCTCCTGAAAGGATCCCCGGAGTATCGATCACACTGATGCTCTCTAGAACTGGGTTGGGCAGCTGGGCACATACAAATCTGTGTTAAAAGAAGGAAGAGAAATCTGGTGATAAACTGATACCTCCAGTTGTATGGCTCAGAACCTGGTCTCATTTACTCTGCGGTCAATCCAGAACTCTGTTGACATCAATAGAGTTCCTCTGGATTTACACAGATGGAAATGAAGCCAGAATCAAGTCCTTTTTGTGCTTACGTGGCTCTTCTGGTAAATATTTTTGGATATGTGGAGCTTTTTCCATGTGGACCCCAAATTTAGATAGCTAAAGAAAAACAATGTGCAAGTCCCAATGTGGAGACAACTGTTTTCATTTGTTGTTTAGATTCCAGTGAGAAAGGGCTTTTGTTTTTCTTCCTGCAAATGTTTCCCTGCAGGGTTCTGGACTCCACTGAGTTGAAACAGCAAGGCATCTGAAAAAGCAACGGCATTGTGCTAATGCCAGAAAACCCAAAAGCAAACCGGGCTATAAACAGATAGCAAAACTGACCATTCCAACCTCACTGATGAGACCAAAGGAGACCAAAAGCATAAGCAGTTATTTATCTTGTTGGCCCATGAAGCCAACATAGCATTGCCTGGCTGTCTATTTTGCACTCATGTCATGAAGGAGAAGAATTGTGTGTGGGATGGACAGCAGTGGAAGTTGGCATGAAAAGGAACTACCATGCATAGTCATGGGAGGAAGCAGCACCTTTGGGCCCAACCCAGAAGTAAATCTGGCACACGGCACGGCAGGGTGCAGTCAGGATGGGGGAACACATCCCACGCTACTGCTGCAGTCACCATGATGTCAGAACAAACTAATGTCACTATTGGTTGTTTCTTCTATACCTTTTTATTCTCAAGTATGACACTGCTGGTTTTCACAGAAATGAACCTCGTCATCTGGCAATATGAACCCCACAAACTTCTGCCCCAAAGGTTTAAGAATTCCAGTTCAAACCTGATTTACTCCCCCAGCTGAGCAAGTGAGCATTTCTTACTGCGTGGTTCTTAGCTTACAACCCCAGGCTACATCTACATTACGAGTTTTCTTGGCAAAAAATATGCTAATGAGGGACTCATTTGCATGAGTCATGATCTCATTTGCTTATTTTCTGCCAATCCATTTTTGCACTAGGGGTTTTTGCACAAAAACACGCAGTGTAGACATTTTCTTTTTGCACAAAAAAACCCTTTTTCTGCAAGACCCAGACTGGTATGGCTCTTGTGGAAAAAGGGAGTTTTGCGCAAAACGAAAATGCCCATACTGCTTGGTTTTGCACAAAAACTTCTAGTGCAAAAAACGGATTGGCAGTAAATATGCAAATGAGTCCCTCATTAGCATATTTTTTGCCAAGAAAACTCATAGTGTAGATGTAGCCCCAGAGTATTCCATGGCATTTCTGGCATGGCTTTCTCCCTGTGTACTTATGCACCAACAGAGCAGTCAGAGCTAGAAAGCTCCCATTAGGACATGCAGCCAATCCCTTGCCAAGGCAGGATTCTTCCCTGCAATATGTGCCAGAGAGCTTTTTCTGGACTAGTTTTAAATGACTCATGCACTGGGACTTTCACCACTTTCCTTGGGGAAGCAATTCCATGGAGGAGATTGGAGCTGAGCCCAGAAGAAAGGGATTTAATAGAATGCCAGAACACATAACTGCATTTGCAACCCTGCCATCATTTTCAGTGGGATAAGTTATTCCTCACTAAAACATGGTGTGGGCAGCTATTCTATGCCAGCAATATATGTGCCACTGCAGAGATGGTTGTATCTCAGTAGTCATGTTGTAGATGTCAGGGAGGAACTAAGCTGAATGCATTTTATTGACCAGCACATTCAGCTCAGGTAGTGCATGCCCAACAACAACAAAGCCAGTCTCTTAACTATTAAGGGTTTTGTGCATTTCATGGAGGCAACATGGTATTTTCCACAGAGTACTTGCTACAATTCCACCAGGGAAAAGGAGCCACTGGTATGATGTTTTATGAGTTGTGCTAGGTACTCGGTGATAGAGACCCAGCCCCGAGAGCACACAGTCCATTGCTGTGGAACCCAGGGTGGGCCTAAATGCATTCTCCGGGCAAGCAGGAGGTTAGCCTTTAAAGACTGCGAGGGCTGCTAGGTCTGGTGGGGAGGGCTGGCAGGGGTGACTTGTCAGACCTTGAGAGGAGCGACTGACTGCTGTGCTGGGGTGGGGATGAAGCAGCCCATAAAAGCAAAGCAGTGGAGTGTGAAGGGGAGAGAAAGGAGTTTCTCTTCAGATAACAGCTGTGGTAGCCCTAGGCTGAGGAGACAGTAACTGTGGAAGTTCAAGCCTGCAAGGCACTGAACCCAAGAGGATCATGTTATCCTGGTTCTGTTTGGACACTATGGTGAGGGGGAAGGCAGCTGCCCTGCCATTGTTTGATGTCCTGGGGCCTGATGTTAGGAGGATCCAGGCCTGAGCTGGGCTGTTTCTCAGGACTGAGTCTGTGATGCTTCTTTTGGTCACTTGCTGTTTCTCTGTTGGGTTTTGATCTATCTTAAGGGAGAGGGGCAGCTCTTACTCCATCCCTGATCCCCTCTTTATCCAGAGTGAGGCTGATAGGAATACCCCTTTGGGGAAGGAAGGGAGAGCTGGATTCTGTTCTGGTCCAGGCACTTTAGCTACATTCCAGTTGCAGGGCCAAACCCAAGGGGTTAGAGATTGCACAGTGGTACTATACTTGTGGGGGCAGACTGGCTTCTGAAATCTTACTGCTGATAAAACACAAAAAAGGGAGACCCAGTTTGGCCAATGGCACAAATCTGTGCTGTTCAAGTTGCCACCGGAGTGAGTACTCCCTACAGCCTCTTGGCTGGGGATACTTCCAGGAGCCCCCAGCTGATACAAAGTGGCTATGTCTACACTGGCAAGTTATTGCAGAAAATCAGCCGCTTTTCCGGAAAAACTTGCCAGCTGTCTACACTGGCCGCTTGAATTTCTGGAAAACCACTGAAAAGCTAATGTAAAATCATCAGTGCTTTTCCGGAAAAACTATGCTGCTCCCCTTCGGGCAAAAGTCTTTTTCCGGAAAACTGTTCCAGAAAAGGGCCAGTGTAGACAGCACAGTAGTGTTTTCCGCAAAAAAGCCCCGATCGCGAAAATGATGATTGGGGCTTTTTTGCGGAAAAGCGTGTCTAGATTGGCCACGGACACTTTTCCGGAAAAAGTGTTTTTCCAGAAAAGCGTCATGCCAATCTAGACGCGCTTTTACGAAAATGTTTTTAATGGAAAACTTTTCCGTTAAAAGCATTTCCAGAAAATCATGCCAGTGTAGACGTAGCCAGTGTGTTTTTGTCTCACTTCAGTCTCTATAGCATGTGGTGGCGAAGGATAGGAGGGCAAAGGAGTGGCCAAAGTATGATGTTTCCCCAGCTGCTGTAGGATCTTGCAGCTGGTGCTCTGCAGAAACTGAGAGCAATGACTGTCGCCTGCTTAGCCCATCTCTGTGGTACTTAATGGCAGTTGATTGCAGCAGAAACCTGGCCCAATACAAAAACAATCCTGTATGATGTCATGCTGATACTACTTTTCAGAACAGAACTGCACTCTGAGGTGAAATGCTACCAGGATCCTTATCCCAGGAAAAATCCCAATGCTCTTATACAGCTTCAGTTCTGAAATGCGAGGGGGAAGGACAGATACTGACCTTCATGGTGATTGACTACCAAGATGACTCATTCACTAGACAAGCCAAGTTATATTTGCTACTGTCTTTAACTGGCTGCTGTGACTCTCATCTCTTAGACATTCCACCCACTTTAGACATGGTTTGCTTGGGGAATGCTGCAGTTTTTCCCCATGGTATCACTGGGAAAAAGTACCGTAGGCAACTGATCATATGTGCCAAAGTGCTGGCTTAAAATAAGCAGCCACGATTAAAATACAAATACACAGGGCTGCCGGGGATCCATTACGAATTTGGTTCCTCAATAGAATTATATACAGGATATTTTGGGTGCTGCTGGGGGGGGTGGGGAGGGGACCAGCAGGATTGCTGAGCCTCTGGGCAAGGTGGAGGGTGGGGAGTGACTCTGCTCCTGGAAGGGGTGAGGCCTCAGTCAGAAGGAGTGAGGTGGGGACTAGCCTCCCTCCCCCACACCAGCCTTTAAGAGCCAGCCAGAGTGTGCTACCCAGCACTGTAGTAGTGATTTAAAGGGTCCAGGGCAACGGCCCCCTTTGGGCCCCCTTGTCAGCAGGTCTGGTGCAATATAACAGCTAAACAATAACAGCCATCAGGTTAGTGCCACCTTGGTGTTGCGAGGGTGGCAGAATTACACAAGCAGGATGGGCTCCACCTAAACCATAGTGGATCCAGACTGCTGGCACTTAATATTAAAAAGGTCGCAGAGCAGTTTTTAAACTAAGAGATGAGGGAAAGCCGATTCGTGTGGAGGAGCATGTGAATCGGACAGAGACTTATCTTAGAGGAGAGCCTATTGATAGAGATTTTTCTAAGTTTTAGTCGGGAGGAGAGGATGGAAGAGGATGGGCCAGATCAGACAAAAAACATTCACATACTGGGCTGGATGGACCTTTGGTCTGACCTAGCATGGCCATTCTTATGTTCTTATTTGGCTCTCTGGGTGAGGACAGGTCTTATCAATGTTCAGTGGCAAGGAGGCCCCTACCAAGAACAGGACATGTTCCAGATGTGGCACTGACCACACTTGGCAAATAAACTTCCTGACTCCCCCTGGTCAATGGGTCAGATCCTTAGCTGGTGTATTGTACACTGGTATAACTTTGTTTGGGTCACTGAGGATGTGGCCTATGGCATCTTGTGGACAAAGCAGCAGGACCAACTTCTGAAGCAGTTGTTTTTTGCTTTATGTAGTTGTATGTGTCAGGTAAAAGGCACATCTGACACCACCATATGCACTGTACCAGACTTTCCCCGCTGGAAGTCTTTACAGCTGGCAGTTTAGACAATATGGCCTCTTTCTATTTACTGCTTAGATGTGGGCACAGAAAGGGCTAATCAGATTTCTTGACAACTCCCTGAATAAACAGCAGGACCTGTGCTTCTCCTCCTGTCAATGAAATCAGGGGTGAACATAAAGGCCTCTCAGGCACCCACATATATCTCCTGTAGCAGAGGAGGATGACCGGATAACTGAGCAGGTGTGAAGAGATGAACTAGTTCACTGGAAGCTTAGCAACAATGTGAAGATTCATGGCTTGTACTAGGAGCAAGTCATCTGTGTAAATCAGGGAGCCAAAGGAAAAGTGCATTTGTACTTCACGCTCTGTCCAGCCTCCTTATTACCGCTGCTGTCCTCCACCCACAATGTTTTGGGCAGCTAGGGCTGTCCTGAATTGTTTCTCCTTGGGGAGAAAGCTTCTGCAACTCCTTTCCGAGTTGCTTTTAATGGTGGGTTTTTTTGGGGGGGCGGGGGGTTGATCTAACACTTCTGCACTCTATGTAGAGGGTATTATTTCCACAGTGCAAACCACCCTGTGACAGGGCATGTGCCCTGCACTGCCCCTTTAAGGGTAAAACCCAGCCCTTAGAGAGTAAATCCCCCAGCTGAGGCAGATACTGCCAATTAGGGCCTAACCTGGACTGTATAAATAAGGGCTCCTAGAGGAAGGTGAACAGATGCACCCTTGCTCTAGCTGGGAGTGGGAGAGACCTGGCAGCTAGGGAAGCTGGAGGCTTTCTGAGACAGAGCAGGGGAGTTCTGGTCTCACCTAGCTCCCAGGCTGCAAGGCCTGAGGTAAGTGTATTAAGGCTACAGGGAAACAGCCAGGATAGGAGAAGGGAGCAAGTCCACAGCCCTTTGCTAATGAGTGGTCAGTTCAGACTGGGGTTTGCCCCTGAGGTACAGGGCTAGATGATGATGGGCAGTGGGCCAGAGGCAAGGTGTATGTTGGGGGTTCCCTGGGACGGAAGGCCCCAAGAGTGCCAGGGCTGAACTAAAAGAAGATTGCATCAGAGGCGGGGACACTGCCTGGCAGAGGGCACTCTGAGGCAGAAGTGCTGATTCTCTGAGTGACCACCTTGTGGTGCCATGGGGGTGAGTGCTTGCCCGGTGTGATGATGGGCAGTGGGCCAGAGGCAAGGTGTATGTTGGGGGTTCCCTGGGACGGAAGGCCCCAAGAGTGCCAGGGCTGAACTAAAAGAAGATTGCATCAGAGGCGGGGACACTGCCTGGCAGAGGGCACTCTGAGGCAGAAGTGCTGATTCTCTGAGTGACCACCTTGTGGTGCCATGGGGGTGAGTGCTTGCCCGGTGACA